AAGGAGAGCTGTTACATCAAGTGTCCCTGGTGTAGGGTGAGTGTTCCCGACGGCTTGGAAAGGCAGCTCTTGTCCTGACCTGTTCTGTCTTCTTAGTGTGGATCAGTGGATAATTCTCATGTCTCGTTACCTGATATTTGAATATATTGCTTGTATGTTTATCTCAACACTGTGCTACCTTCCATAATATTTTTTTCCTAAAAAATTTCCTTAATCGATCTCAACTTCCAGTCAGTCTCCACACTCCGTTCACAATAATCAGTGTAGATCTCATAGACCTCCGTTCACAACTCTACCATGTCCCCTTTTCCTTCCTCCGTTCCCAGGGCGACCCCGAATCTCCGTTCTGGCAAGGCTGGGGACACCTGCGTCTCAAGACCTATCAGCTGATCGAGAACAAGTACTTCGAAACGGCCGTCATCACCATGATTCTGCTGTCCTCCATGGCCCTGGCGCTGGAGGACGTCGATCTGAAGGGCCGGCCGGCGCTGCAGGACATCCTCTACTACATGGACAGGATATTCACGGTCATCTTCTTCATTGAGATGTTGATCAAGTGGGTCGCGCTTGGCTTCGCTAAGTACTTCACCAACGCTTGGTGTTGGCTCGACTTTCTCATTGTCATGGTGAGTCCTTTGCGGGTTTTCCCCTTTGCGGGGTGGGTCTTCCGGGGCGCTCTCTCTCTCTCTCTCTCTCTCTCTCTTTTCTTTGCGTTATTTTGTCTCACCTCTCTGTTTTTAACCCTTTCTCTCTTATCTCTCCTCTCCATTCTTTCCTCCCCCTCGTCTCTTCCCTCTCTAACTCTTCTTCTCTCACTTCTTACGCTCTTCCCCTTCTTAATCTTTCTCTTCCTCGCTTATCTTTCCCAAATGTGCATGTTGAACAGTAAAATAACTGATAAGATATTTCAGGCGAGAGACCCGGCAGCCAGACCGGGCAAGATCACATCCCTCTAAAGGTCGTTGACTCGTTCATATACTGATGATACATTTATTTTGTTTATAGGAGAGATTTCTGCATAATCGTCAACTGAGTGTTTTTTCCATATCACTTTGAGATTATTAAAATAGGCTTTATGAAAGCGCATGCGCGCGCGTTTATGTGTATGTGTTTTGTGTGTGAGAGAGAGAGAGAGAGAAAGGGAGAGATAAAGAAAGGGAGAGAGAGAGGGAGAGGGGAGAGAGAGAGGGGGAGAGAGAGAGAGAGAAGGAGGAGAGAGAGAGAGAGAGAGAGGAGAGGAGAGAGAGAGAGAGAGAGAGAGAGAGAGAGAGAGAGAGAGAGAGAGAGAGAGAGAGAGAGAGAGAAAGGCAGAGAGAGAAACAGTAGAGAGAGAGGAGGGGGACAGAGACAGGAGAAAGAGAGAGAGATAATGTATGTGTGTGTAGTTTACATAGTCTATGTGTGTCGTGTGTGTGCGTGCACGTGCCTGCCCGGCGCCCTGTCCCTAGTAACCCTCTGTCTTGTAGGTGTCTCTGATAAACCTGGCCGCCATTTGGGCTGGCGCCGACGACATTCCCGCCTTCCGGTCCATGCGGACGCTGAGAGCCTTGCGGCCTCTGCGCGCCGTGTCTCGCTGGGAAGGCATGAGAGTAAGTAGCGCCCCCGCCCGCCCGCCCACCGAGTGTCGGGCGCCGTCGCCGCGGGCGCGCTGCCTCCGGCTGCGTCGCCCTACCTCCCGCCTCTCCACCCCGCCTCGCCACCCGCGGCAGTGAGGAGGATGGGCGTAGGGCGACGCGGGACGGACGGGCACCCCGCCCGCCCTCACCACACCCTCACCCCTCACCCTTGGCGTGCCACTCATCGGTGTCCGTGAATGCTCCGGCCACATCGTCCGCCTGTCCTCCATCTCCATCGCTCTCTCCCTCCATCTCCATCGCCACCGCTCTCCCTCTCTGGCGCTGCCGTGTCCGAGGCCGTTGTCTTGAGCAGATGCAGCATCTCTTCTGTAACTGACGTCTTTTTCCCCGTCTGCAGATCTTTGTTCTTGTCCCTTCGTGTCCGCCTTCAGGAGGATGTGGCGTGGCTGTCTCACTGGCTCTCTCTCTCCCTGTAGTGTCCGTGGTGTCCGGCGTAGTGTCGTAGCGGCGCCAGCTCTCTCGCTCTCCATTCTCGCTGTGTAACGCTCGCGGCCTCTCATTCCAGGTGTCCTTGATTAACCTTGTGGCAACCCTGGCCGGCGCAGGCAAAATTCAGGCGTTCAAAACGATGCGAACGCTGCGTGCGCTGCGTCCCCTGAGGGCCATGTCCCGGATGCAGGGCATGAGGGTAAGTGCCCCCGCCCGCAGCCGCTCTCGCGAGCAGCTGCTGCACGGCGCATGCCCAACCTGCTGCTATTCCACGCAGGCTGCCCAGGCCCGCGCCACGCTCACCACAGCGCCGCGACGCCCACCGAACCCGCGGCGCGGCTGCGTGGTGAGGGTGGCGTCGGATCCCAGCTGCCGCCCTCAGCAAATCTCTGCTGGTTCCGCTCCCCGCTGGACGCCGCCCACGTGCGCCCCCCGGGAGCATGGGCGGCGTGACGGGGGCAGCGGAAGAGGGCGGGAAAGCCAGGGGCGTAAAGTCCACAGTCCTTAACCTGAACTCTGACGGCGCTCGGAAACACAGCTGTTCCTTGAAGGCCAATCCAGCATCAACACACGAGCTCCCGACGCATGCGCACTAGAGTATGTAGGTGCATGGGCCGCACTCGGTCAGTATGGCCAGATTCGCTCTTGACTTCTTCGGTCGAGGGACTGAGGCCATTCTGACTGAACTACACAAAACCGCAAAATTATTTCGCCTCAGCAGCAGCACCACAGACACTTAACAGATGTCCCCCTAATTCTAACTTCCTGATCCTCACCCACGAGAACGATTTAGTAGCTCATAAACAACGCTGACTTCACACACGTGGCGCCATAAGTAGTGCTACTCGAAGTCAGTGCCATCTATCGGAAGCCACACGAACTAAAAACTGCATGGAGAACGTCTTTCCCATTGCATGACCTTTCTCGGTTCTTTGCATGGCAGTCGTAGGGTTTAAAGTCCTTTGTGTTGCTTTGTGTTGCAGGGAAACGCTGTAGACAGTGCATGACTTGTAGAGAGAAAGTGTTTCCCGCTTGACGTGTGTCTTTGAATGTGCTCTAACATGTACACATACGTGTCTATATGAACACACACACACACACACACACACACACACACACACACACACACATATATATATATATATATATATATATATATATATATATATATATATATATATATATATATATATATATATATATATACACACACACACACACATACATACATATATATGTATACATATATACCACACACACACACATACACACACACACACACACACACACACACACACACACACACACACACACACACACACACACACACATATATATATATATATATATAATATATATATATATATATATATATATATATATATATATATATATATATATTATATATATATATAGTATTATATATAGTATATATATATATATATATATATATATATATATATATATATATATATATATATTATATATATATATATATGTGTGTGTGTGTGTATGTATTTCATGTTTATATGTGTCTATGTATACATATACGCAAACTTTCGTGTACTCTTCTATGTTATTATTGTTGCTGTCATCCTATAAATGCATTTCCCTTGTCATTATTTTATCCACGCAGTTAGTGAGACCAACAAAGAGATAATTAGTTCGCAAATTTGTTTTCATTTTCTTTTTTCATGCATCAATAAACCTAATAAATGCTGCACTCAGCTTGGAAGATGCATATTTTTTATTAGCATAGTATTTATTTATTTATTTACCTATTTTTCTATTAACCTTCCACAGAATCACAAATATAGAATCGTATGATGCATAAAGATATGGAATAAATGGATTGATAGATCGATAAGTATAGACGCATGAAATTAGCAAAACAAAAACAAAAGACGATCGGTTTTCCCGCGCAAATCCTCTAACGCGTCTCCTCGCAGGTCGTCGTGAACGCTCTTGTGGGTGCCATTCCTTCGATCGTCAATGTGCTCCTCGTGTGCCTCATCTTCTGGCTCATCTTTGCAATCATGGGCGTGCAACTCTTCAACGGCAGGTACCACAAGGTGAGTGGTCTTGTTGTTTTTGTTGTTGTTTTTTTGTAATCGTGTTGCCCATTTGCTGTTCGTGACGGAAGGTGATCTTCTCTTGTTTAGGTTTCGTCAGGTGTAGGTTGCCGCCATAAGGTAGGCCGCTCTTTTACATACGAAAACGTAGGGTAGATATAGATAGATATAGACTTAAAACTAGACGGAGAAATATAAAATAGACAGTAGATCCAACTCTGTTTTTTTCTGAAATCGAATTTCCAGCGACTCCACTCCGGTCTCTGTCTCTCCCCCTTTCTGCCAATCTATCTATTATCAATCTATTTATATATCTGTCTGTCTACCTCTCTCTATCTATTTTTATATCTATCCATCTCTCTCACCTCGTTTCTCTCCGTTTCCCTATCTCTCTCCTTCTCTCCCTCTACTAGACCATCTACCCATCTACACGTACCTTCCTCTCTACCCATCTCCCCCCCCCCCCCCCCCCCCTCAGCCCCAACCCCGCTAACCACCCCCTCCCCCTTCCTCCCGCAGTGTCTTAACGGTGATGGCGAGAGGGTGAGCGCAGAGGACGTCCCCGACAAAAACACACTGCATCAAGTTGAACCTCACGTGGGAGAACAGCGAGGTGCACTTCGACCACGTGGGCATGGCGTACCTCGCGCTCTTCCAGGTGGCCACGTGGAAGGGCTGGATCCAGATCATGAACGACGCCATTGACGCCACACAGGTCTCTCTTTTTTTGCGTGGGCGGCTTTTTTTGGGGTGTGAGGGCTTGTTGTGTGTGTGAGGGGGGAGGGAGGGGGGTATGAGTGGTTGGGTGGGTCTCTGATTGTGTTGTGGTTAGCAGTAATTTTATGTTTATTTATCATTATTATTTGTTTTGTGTGGGTGGGTGGATGTGCGTGCGAGTGTGTTCCTCACATATATATATACATAAATATATGTGTGTGTGTGTGTGTGTGTGTGTGTGTGTTTGTTTATGTATATATATAGATCTTACAGTATATATTTCCCTCTCTTTCCCCTCCCCCCGCTACCGTTCAATATGTACGAGTGAGCTCCCCCTCACCCCAGACAAATTCCCAAAATCAGCCCAATTCCCATTCCCTCTTTATGAATTCCAATACATCACATTTAAGATATCCAGAACCATCTGCCGAAAACTAACCGCGACCTGACTTGACCTCCCCGACAGCTGGAACAACAACCTCGGCGTGAGAACAACATCTATATGTATTTGTACTTCGTGTTCTTCATTATCTTTGGCTCTTTCTTCACCCTCAACCTCTTCATCGGTGTCATCATCGACAACTTCAATGAACAGAAGAAAAAGGCAGGTACCTTTAGCGTGGATTATGTGTCTCGTTTAGTTTAGTTGCCCCTCTATTTTTTTTCTCATTAATTTATTTCTTCTTAGTTCCGTTTTCTATCTTGGTATTAATATTCATTCGTCATTTGTTCTTCAGTATCTTGAAGATTCGGTTTTAGAAGGTATTTCTTGATGGCAATCTTGATCTTTTTAAAGTAAGAATTTAAGCAAGTAATGGATTAAAAGAATATATGTATCGAAGTAATATTTTATTTTCTTTGACTACGTTTTCCCATTTTCTCTCCCCATTTTTTCTTAAGTTTCCCCCAATCGGAATGCTCTCAGATGCCCTTGTTATTTCGTTCAGTATCATCCGCTTAAATATATCCACGTGTCTTTAACAATGCATTTGATCGCGTATTTGTCTTTTTTTTTTTTTGGAATATCCACGCAGGAGGCTCTCTCGAAATGTTTATGACGGACGACCAGAAGAAATACTACAACGCCATGAAGAAAATGGGTTCCAAAAAGCCCTTAAAAGCTATTCCAAGACCGCAGGTATTTGGTTGCTCTGAGTAAGGTTGTCTCTCTCCCCTCCTTCTCTCTTCCTCTCTACGCTCTCTCTCTCTCTCTCTCTCCCCACACACACACACTTCCCTCACTCTCCAGCCGGTAGAGCGATTTGAGGAAAATGTGTGTAATTTCCCTTCTTCTCTTATCCGAATTTTTCTCTCCTTTTCCCCCCTTCTCCCTTTCCCCTGCCCCCTTTTACCCCTTTCCTGCCATCTCTACATACCTCAGTGGCGCTTCTTTAATCGACCTTATTTTATCATCATATACAATTTATTATTAAATGTATTGTATACATAATTTTACTTTCGGTTGTTCTTACCTTTTCCAAGTGTCGATTAAAGAAATGGTCACTGTATTATGCATTAGACTGTTGTATATATAAGGTTTGATGCTTTTTTTTTTTCTCTCTTTTCATCGTATTGTAGACATTGTTGTATTTCCAAAACGCCCCCCAAAACCCTAGGTCAAATACAGTTCCTATAGTTTATAGGTTCATTTGTTTGTATTCTGTAATTCGTCTGTACGAATGACATTTCCTTAGAAAACAGAATACCTTTTCATGTTATTTTGACTGTGTCGTGTGTCCCCTTTCTTGAGAAGAAGACACCGTGCTTTTCTCCCCCCTTGTAGAAGAAAATCCGTTTGTTTCCCCTCAGACCAGAATAAATAGTGTGCATCTCCCCTCTGTGTAGGAGAAAATATGCTTGTTTCCCCTCTGCGGAGAGTAGATTGTGTATGTATCCCCAGTATGTAGGAGAATATATGCTCGTTTACCCTCCGCGCAGAGTAAATCATGTTTGGTTCCCCTCTATATAGGAGAAAATACACTAGCTTCCCCTCTGCATAGAAGAAACCGGTCCCCCCCCCCTCAGTATAGAAGTAACGTTTGTGTTCCCCTCAGCGTAGAAGGAAATGCCATGTTGGTGTCGACCGCATATCCCATCCTCCATAACATACTCCCTCTTTCACCTATGTGCCGCCTTCTGCCTCATCACATCATCACCCTACTAATGAACAGTTCTGGCAGTGTTTGCAGGCACCTTGAATGTCGCTCTGGCCTCCTTGAAATCAACTCAAGATCAACAGCAAGTTGAGGAAAATAAACCAAAAAAAAAAGTGCTCCCTTTGACTCATATAGAAAAAAAAATAGTCATATCCATATAATCATATTCATATCCTTATCCTCAGTCACTCATACACAGAAATTGTACATATTTAACCTCCCTGTCCACTTTATTATCTGTTATAAAGTGTCACAGAATCAAAACATCGCTTCTTGTAGTGGTGTTGCTGACACTTCCTTCCTTTCCTCCCAAGTAAAGTGTAAAGTGTTAAAGTTAGTGTCGAAGTTCGAGCTTACTCTGCCTCAAACTTCTATGTACCCCTACGAGGATTATTTAAATGTCCCTTATCATTCTTCCCATAGGATACAATAGTATGATTTGGTTCACTTTCCTACGAAAAGAATGGCATGTTTTCATAGCCAGTTGAGCTTCCACTGTCAAAATTCCACAGCACTTTGGTCCCCTTGTTCCGGTTTAGAATTAGGTCCTATCGTGTCCTCAGTATACCTCTTGCACAGAGTTTTCCCCTCTTTTCTAACCCTATTTCCTTTACAGTTGTCCTCTCATAGCCTTCATGCAAATATCACCCTTATTGCAAGCTAAAAATCACTTCAATCTTATTTTTTTCATGAAAATACAGAATAATCATTGCTAGCTTGTTTTTTTATGTGTATGATATTTGCTTTTGTTTGCCAAATCACTCACACATACTGTTTTTGTTCCCTTAAAATCACATATGAGAGTTTTTCTCTCATGAATGTCAAAATTTACCCACCTCATAAGCCACTAACTGCTACGTCATTCCATCCGCTTCATTGATTAGCTAATTTACACACCATTTCCCATTAATTTTTTATGTAATTAATGTAAAGTCACCTGCTACCCTGACTGTTTTCACCAACATACCCCCCCAAAAAAAAAACAAGTTACCAACATAGATAAAAAGAAAAAAAAATCCATCATCACCTCCCCCTCCAAAAAATGACCGCACTCCATCACTTTCTCCCACACTCACCCACGATCGCCAAGCCAACCTCCTAGAGTCGCCAACACATCTACCGCCAACACCATTACTCCTCCAGCCTTCCTCCATCATTCCTCCACCACCACCACTCCACAGCCACCACCACCACTACCACCACCACACACCACACCACTCCTCTATCACCACTCCTCCGTCATTACTACCACCACCACCACTCTTCTATCACCACTCCTCTATCACCACTCCACCGCCATCGCCATTACCACCACCACCACCGCCATTACCACCACCACCACCACTCCTCCATCACCACTCCTCCGCCACCACCACCACTACCACAATCACCATCACACTCTCCGCCACCACCATCACACCACCATCACCATCACCACCACTCCTCCATCACCACTCCTCCGCCGCCACCACCACTCCTCTATCACCACTCCTCCACCACCACTATCACCACCACCACCACTCCTCCATCACCACTCCTCCACCACTCCACCGCCACCGCAACATCCCCCAGCCACAAAGCGCACCCGCGCTCGTCCTGCGGGACAGGCCTCGTCCCCTCGCGTGAGGCGGACTCGGGCCTTCCGCTTCCTGGAAAATATTAAGCTTGACTCGCACCTCCCTAACTCAGGCTCAGCTCCTCGCCTCCTTGCTCTGCCCTGCCTGCTTGAAGCCAAAGAAAGGAAAAGTCAGAGAAAATAGACTCGATACTGACTCACCCACCGCCTGTCAGGAAACTCTTTCCCCACTTTTTTTTTTTTTTTTTTTACAGCGTCGGTCCAAATTGCATCATTTTTTCAGCTTGGTGTACATGCGTTTTTCTTATCACGGACATCCATCGTTTACTTGAACAAGTACACTATTCAGACAGGGAAAAAAACACTGCATTATAACAGGTGCATCGCTGCACTGCATGCCCAATCAGGTACAGCGCTTCTTTTGAAAATGAAACCCCAAAATTTTTCCGACAGAATCGCGAAGAGTGCATGCCTTTTCCTCGGAGCTGTTTTGATCAAAGGTCATGAATTTCGCACACCCGTCTGCGCGATCGCAAGCCCCTCTCGTGCACTGACAGAGCACACACGACAGGGCTACGTGCTGCCTTCAAAGAGCGCGTTCGAATGTACTTATCTCAGCCATGGCAAAGCACAGCACTATGGTTCTCAACAAGGTCTGCTTTCGTGCTGTATAGGATAAACGCGAGTGTTTTTTTCTGCTTAAATAGCAGATGTAAATAATGTGAACTGTGCTTTTTCCCGTAAAGGTGAAATGGCCATAAATCAAATAGATATTTTCATATGTTAAGTGATTTACCCTTTTTAATTAAGCTCCGCCTTGAGTAATTAAAAGTGCGAAGAACCACAAGGATATATCATGTCATTTGAATAACCCAGAGACGCTCAAAACAGCAGATCTTGTCAGAGTTGATGGGGAAGATGGCAGACCGAATCCCTCTCTAAAAATTGCATGTCCATCTCCCCCCCCCTCTCCGTCAGTTTCGTTAGGTACCCCCCCCCCCCTCGCCCTCAGGCCAGATACGTTTCTGCGCTATCCTACTTATCGTTAACTCTCTCTCTCTCTCTCTCTTTCTCTCTCCCTCTCTCTCTCTCATCCTTTTGAGATATAAACGTTTGTCTCAGTGAACTTGTCAGTCAAAAACTCTCTCTCTCTCTCTCTCTCTCTCTCTCTCTCTCTTCTCTCTCTCTCTCTCTCTCTCTCTCTCTCTCTCTCTCTCTCTCTCTCTCTCTCTCTCTCTCTCTCTCTCTCTCCCTCTCCCTCCCTCCCTCCCTCCCTCCCTCCCTCCCTCCCTCCCTCCCCTACGACCCCCAATCGCGAGAATCCGAGGCGGAATGCAAGGCCAGGGTGAAGCAGGTCCGCGGCGAGAACGTTCACTGTGTCGGAGATCTGGAGGTGGGGGTCAGGGTGGCGGCCGTTGTGTGCTCTCGAGTCGCAGAACGGTTCTTCCTTGTGGATCGCCTCCCTTCTGTTGAACTCTCTCTGTTGCTCTCGAATCTCAATATGAACGGCTTCTTTCCGGTACCTTCGTGTATGTCACTCCTTTTTTTTCTTTTTTTTTTTTTTCACACGAATTTTTCTCTCTGTCTGTCCCTCTCCTCCCTCCCTCCCTCCCTCCCTCCCTCTCTCTCTCTCTCTCTCTCTCTCTCTCTCTCTCTCTCTCTCCTCTCTCTCCTCTCTCTCTCTCTCTCTCTCTCTCTCTCTCTCTCTCTCTCTGTGCTATCTGAATTAGTGTTTATTTACTGATTGATTTTGTTTTCTGTTCAACTAATGTTATTTTGAGTTTGACTATAGTATGAATTTAAAACAGTGATAGACTTTTTTTTCAACGAGGAAAACCTCACAACTTTATTTAACTAAATTAACAAATCAAGAAAATGCTACGATTTTTTTTTTTTTTTTTTTTTATTGTTTCACATTTTTTCTTTTCTTCTTAACTTCATTTCGGGATTGATAAATTACTTTTTGGGATCATTTTTATTAAAAAGTCAGAAACCTTGTTTTTTATTTTTTTTGTTTCTTTCTCTCTCTCTCTCTCTCTCTCTCTCTTCTCTCTCTCCTCTCTCTCTCTCTCTCTCTCTCTCTCTCTCTCTCTCTCTCTCTCTCTCTCTCTCTGAGTCCCTCTCTGCGTGAATCTTAAAGAGTCACCCCTCCCATTTTCTTTGTCTTTCCCGCTTAGTTCCGCCCACAAGCCGTGGTGTTCGAGATAGTGACCAGCAAGAAGTTTGACATGATCATCATGATTTTCATCGGCCTGAACATGCTTACGATGACCTTGGATCACTACAATATGACCGAGGAATGGAAGATGGTGCTCGACTACCTGAACCTCGTCTTCATATGCATCTTCACCTCTGAATGTGTCTTGAAGGTGTTCGCCCTCCGCTGGCACTACTTCAAGGAGCCGTGGAATCTCTTCGACTTCGTAGTGGTCATCATGTCTATCCTTGGTAAGAAAAGAGACGATGTTGACCAGCTTTCTGTGTGTAGCGATGTGACTTCTGTGTTATCTGTAAGTTCCTCTTTCTCCTTTTTTTTTTTTTTTCCTCCCCCACTTTTTTTTTTTCAATTTTCGACAACAGTTTCGTCTGCAGCGCCGAGTTCTACGATTCAAAGATTTATAAAAACAAAAGAAGTGTTGGAAGCGCAGCGGGAGAACAGCTGGACGAGGAGCTGCCAGCTGCTGGATGACTAGTCAACAATTTTGCAATTTTCCCTCAGTCTAAAATCATTAAGAGTCTCATCTACGTAATGGAGTGGGCCTGTTTTTCCATCAGGTTTTCTGCCTCCAAATATAATTTTTCGCTTCGAAGAGACTCTAGAAAAAAAAAGAATCGGATTATTTCAACCCGGTGTATCTTTTTTTTTAAGTCTGTCTGTCTGTCTGTTAGTAAATGGATGTGTTGATGTTAGTATGCATGCATTTCCATGTTATATGTGTGTATGTATGTCACGATTCTATGTCACACCCGCATTTTTTCCACAAAACACGAAAACTGCAAGACATTTTTCAACTCCAGTCTTCACTGACACGAAGGGCTTTTGACGCGAATCACCGTCCTGCGAGCGACCACCGATCCACCTCAGAGAAGATCGAACTAAAGCCAGCGTGACCATTTCTCTTTTCATAAATCCGGTAAGTCTCAGCTCGTTCTTCCGGCGGTACTGGAGCGAACGCCTTTTCTTTCCGTCGCGCCGTTCGCGGGTTCAAAATTTTGCCACCGCCGCGCCGGCCAGCAACGAGAGAAGAGAGTGCGAACGTCACTTCCTTTTTGGGTCATGTGATTTCCTTCAGTGTCACGGGGGGAGTCATGGCGGAGGCGCTGCTCCCTCGCCCTCGGGTGGCCCTCTGGCGCCAAGGTCACGGAGGGGTCACGTCTCCAACACCGCTCACTGACCTCTGTGTTTTTGCTAAGCCAAGATCGCTTTACGTTTTGCCTCAGTGGTGCGGCGCAGAAAAGTGTAATCATCATAATTTCGTTTTGAAAATCTGTAATGTATCAGATGACCGAGGAACTATACATGAGCATATACAAATGCTTCCATGTATGCGTGAATATGTTAAATGTCTAATGAAGCAGTTAAATGTGACGATTTCAAGTAAAGAGCTGCCTCACCTCAAGCATTTTGGAAAAAAAAACACAAGTTGCATAAGGAATAAATTTGCATCGTAAGTGCCAGACATTTTGCCCAGGGAAGGAAGAAAGCGTTTTTTCTTTCTTTCTTTCTATCTTTTTTTGGCAATATGTGCAGCCCAGGGTAATGCATTCGATCTCAAAGTCCGACGGAGCAGAATCGCTATCAAAAGAATTCGCGCTGTGCAAAGTTCCGCATCGTCGACAGCTCCCATCGCCACCACGTGTCGTCCCCGCCCCTCCAATCGGCGTTCGCGATACACAAAAACACACCCTTCCAACCCCAGAGTTACAAAGAGAAGTGTGCACGTCGCCAATCAGTTTCACAAGCTCAGGTCAGTGGCGAGTGTTTGTCTTCGCAGAGGAGCGAGTTCCAGTGTTTTGCTTGCAACCTCGAACCAGTTACGACAGTAGTAGCATCTCGCGTGTTTTCGCAGTCGCTGTCAGAAGCGTTCACGCAGGTCCTGTCTGTTATCTTGTTCGCAGTTGTTTGTCTGAGTCGCTGTCCCGTGCCTTTGCCCTTGACAGTTTGGTGTTTCTCTGCAGTGTTAATGTCTTCAGAAGCAGTTCTGTTGTTATCTCGTCTTGATAAGTAGCTGTTGTTACTAGGGAGAACCGCTGTCTTCAAGAGCAGTTTTTTTTCTCAATTAGTCGTATTGCGCGCTCGGAGTAGTAAGCAGTCTTGTTCTTAGAGTGGTCCTGTCTCCGTTGCCTGCAGTCTACTCATCTCCAGTTGTAGTCTTCTCTTCAAATGCAGTTTTATCAATCGCTCTCTTCTTTCCTTCAATTGCAGATAGCTCGCCTCCAACTGCAGTCTTCTTTCCTTCAATTTCAGTCGTCTTCCATTCGTTTGCAGTCTTCTTAGCTTCAATCGCTGTCGTTGTATCTCCATTTCCAATCTCCCTTCCTCGCAGCCGTGGCTATTTGAACAGCAGCTTAGGTCATTCAGTAGCAGTGTTCCCTCTTCTAACTGCAATCTTATCTCCTTCAATGGCGGTCGTTTCTTCATCTGCAGTCTTGTTTCCATCAGAGGTGTTCCAGCAGCAGCATTCCAGTGTCCTCGGGAGCAGTCTGTCATTAGCAGTAGTCTCGATGTTGTATTTTGTTCCTGCTGTTTTTGTTTCACTTTTTTTTTTCTCGGGCTAAACTCTGTAAGATCTGCAACATCTGAGGACGTGCCAGGATTTTTTGCACTTTCTTCAGTTGCTGTTGTCGGCCAATGGGCACTACTGTTGCTTTCCCTTCGCTGAGGGCTGCTGGATTAGATTCAAAGGGCTTGATGTGGACAGAAACTGCTGTTATTTCCTGATCGTTAACCTGAAATGACAGCTGCTATTGCTCGCTCTTCAGTTGCCTGGGTAGTATAGATTCTGGAGAGGAAGTTTGGTTGCAGCGAGATTGCCTCCAAGCTTCCTGTTTCACGGAGAGTCATCGTGCAGATTCGTTTTCACTCTACCTTGCCTTGTGCTTTTGTTTCTGTGTTGCTCTTCTGGTGAGGTTTCTCAGTCATTGACTCCCATTCTGCAGTTGGAAGGTGTCAAGAAAGAGCAGCTTTTACTTCCACTTTGTGAGAAGACCAGATGCGCCCCTTGCGGAAGACCAGACGCCGAATTCTCGAGCTTATGCTGAAGCAGCCGATTGAAAAGTCAACTGAAGATTCTAACACAACAAAATCTCCATGTTATGAAGTTTTTATTACGTAAACAAACACCAGTTTTTCACATTAACACATTTTTACATACATCAGAAAAATTGGCAGAAGCTCGGAGCATCATGCAAAAATTCCTAAACATGCAAGTTTGCAGCGAAGCAATATCATTACGTTTGACTAGCTGAGTCGTCTTCAGGTACTGGAAGTCACTTCGAGAATAGCGTGGTTCATTATGCAAGCTTCGAACATGCCCAAAACCCTTCAGTGCAACACAATGATCTCGTATGAAAAGATGAGCGTGAATGACTGCGGAGCATTTTTTATGCATTTTTCTGCATGCTCTTCGACTTCCTTATTCCATCTTATAGATTTTTTTCCCTGTCATAAATAGGGCTGACAACCTTCCCTCCACAGGCCTGGTGCTGAAGGACATTATCGAGAAGTACTTCGTTTCCCCGACGTTGCTTCGAGTGGTTCGCGTGGCGAAGGTGGGGCGAGTCCTGCGTCTGGTAAAGGGAGCCAAGGGTATCAGGACGCTCCTCTTCGCCTTAGCCATGTCCTTGCCCGCGCTCTTCAACATCTGTCTGCTGCTTTTCCTCGTTATGTTCATCTTCGCAATCTTCGGCATGTCATTCTTCATGAACGTCAAACACACTGGGGCCTTGGACTCTGTTTACAATTTCGAAACTTTCTTCCAGTCATTTATATTGTTGTTCCAAATGATGACGTCAGCGGGGTGGGATGGTGTGCTATCAGGGCTTGTTAATGAAAAAGATTGCAAAGCTCCAGATCCAGAGCACGGCGATCCTGGCAACTGCGGCAATCAGGCGATTGGCATTGCGTATCTAATGGGCTACCTTATAATCAGCTTTCTCATTGTTATCAACATGTATATCGCTGTTATCCTCGAGAACTACTCCCAAGCAACAGAGGATGTAGAGGAAGGTCTCACAGAAGATGACTATGATATGTACTACGAGATCTGGCAAGAGTTCGATCCCAAAGGCACTCAGTTTATCGAATTCTCTGCTCTCTCCGACTTCATGGATGTACTGGAGGCTCCCCTTCAGATTCACAAGCCAAATAAGTACAAAATCGTGTCGATGGACATCCCCATTTGCAAAGGAGACCTCGTTTTCTGTGTCGACGTCCTTGATGCCCTCACCAAGGACTTCTTCGCTCGCAAAGGAAATCCCATTGAAGACTCTGGCGACATGGGTGACGTAGGACCTCCCGCCGATAGACCTGGCTACGAACCCATATCCTCGACCCTATGGCGCCAGCGCGAGGAGTACTGCGCACGGTATCAAGCGTGGCGCAAACACCGCCACCTCAAAGACCAGTCTTCGGTATCTGGCAGCGATTCCATGGAGGATTTCAGGCAAGCAGACACTGCCGTCCTGGTCGAAAGTGATGGATATGTAACAAAAAACGGCCATAAGGTGGTGATTCACTCGCGTTCGCCATCGTTGCCGTCAAGGTCCACAGATGTGTGACTGCAAAAATGCGAGTACTAGAATTATAAGGTGTAACTAAACGGGCCAATTGTAAATCACTTTACTGACAGATCCAGGAGCGTTATTAAGAATTTAACTTGTTAACTAATGTACATACTGATGACTTCACTCCTAATGCCTTGTTGTTTAAGTTTACAGTCCAACTGTCCTCATCAGCTTCCCGATCTTCGAGTGCCGCGCCCTCTGTGCAGATATTACTGGCCTAAGTGATTCACTATATGTTTATTTTTGTATTTAACATTCTGAATGATTAATAGGCCCTTAGTTACCCGTCTTGGTACTGCTGCTGGGTTCAAGCGAGGCTGGGTGCGCCTGCTCTTCACGGGGTTCACGTGAAGCTTGAAAACACTGCAATTCCCTTCCCCCCCCACCCCTCAACCCTCCAACCCAGTTCATAGCCACCCACACGCCCACATTTCATAGTTGTACTAATATACGGTGTAAGGGCCACGATTAGCAGATCATTATAGGTGTAGACACCCAGATGAAACACATACACACACACACACAAAAACACACGCACACACGCCAACCAGACACGCGCACGTACACACACACACTGTCAAGGGGGCACAGAGATCAGTTTCCCGGCCCAGCCCCTCTCCCAAAGCCAGTGACCGTCTCCTACAGATCCAGATACTATAGGCTCCTTCTCCTCCTCTGACCCCCGCCCTTGTTCGTTTGGAGGCGTCGCTGCCCTTCCGGTCTCAGTGTGGCCCCTCTTATGCCCCGCCTCAGTAGTCTACGTTGATTTATTGGCTACAAGATCATGATACGCCGAAGGAGGAGCCTCGTCAGGCACGACGTTGTATCGGAAGATGTCAGACTGATGAAGATGTGCTGTTTGTCTGCATACATACATACATATATATATATATATATATATATATATATTATATATATATATATATATATATATATATATATATATATATATATATATATATACATATACTTATATTATATATGTATATGTATGTATGCGCGCGTATGTGTGTAGATATACACACACACATTTATATATTATATATATATATATATATATATAATATATATATATATATATATATATTAATATATACTGGCATATATATATTTATATGCCAGTGTGTATACATGTGTATATATAGAGAGACTGTATATATGTATACATATTTACACATACATATGTGTGTATGTTATATATGTATTACATATATACACATGTATTATATACATATGTGTGTGCACGTGTAACATATATATATATATATATATATATATATATATATATATATATATATTATATATATATATATATATATAATATATATATATGTATATATATATATATATATATATATATATATATATAATATATATATACATATAAAGTGAGTGTCTGTGTGTCTGTGTGTACGCACATACATCTCTCTTTCTCGTTCTCTCGCTCTCTCTCTCTCTCTCTCTCTCTCTCTCTCTCTCTCTTCTCTCTCTCTCTCTCTCTCTCTCTCTCTCTCTCTCTCTCTCTCTCTCTCTTCTCTCTCTCTCTCTCTCTCGTTCTCTCTCTCTCTCTCTCTCTCTCTCTCCCTCTCCTCCTCCCTCTACTTCTCCTCTCCTTCTCCTCTCTCTTCTCTCTCTCTCTCTCCTTTCCTTCTCTCGCCCCCCCCCAGAGGAGCCCCAGTGGAAACTTCCCCCCACATGGGCACTGTCTGCGGCCATGGCGAGTGCATAATTATCTTTAAAAACGTCTTTTGCTTGTTTCTGCCTCTATAACAAATTTCCTTGTTTAAGATTAATTGGCCAGCAAAACACGTGAAGCAAACGAGCTTTTGTTAAGCTTTACCTGTCATAACTGATTGCTTGTTGTCAAATTATCAAATATTATGACGATTTTTTTTTTTCAAATTTGCAAAAGCGGCGGTTCAGTTGGAATTTGAGGTCATGCTGATGGGGTCGATGCTGCCCTCCTCCCTCTTCCCCAAGCGGAGGTCGCGCTGAGGTGCCATCTGCAGTGGCCCGTCCCTCCCGACCCCCTCAAGATGTGGCACTGTGCCATTTAATCGATTATTCTCTCTCGTACTCCATCCTGAGACATCTTTTATTACTTTCTAAGTTTCCTTGTTGTTTCCTTTCACTTTTTTCTTCTCGTCTTTCGTATTTTTAAAATCTTTTTCTTCTTCTTTCGTCTTTGTCATCTTTTCCTTCTTCTCCTTCCGACTTTTTCTTTTTCTTCCGTCTGGTTCCCTGCATTTCCGATACAACAAACGTTCTGATGCTTAGTATTTGGTCGATGAAGGAGCTGCCATCCCGCGTCGTAATCAGCTGATACTGTTGTTGCAACAGAGGCCATCCAATATGACTTGGTTGCCTAACTTCTATGGCCTTTTGGTTACCGGTAATGGTGGTAATGGGAGCATCTCCTAGCACCATTATATTATAACTTTGGGTTGTGCGATTCATAGTTGCATAATGAACTTGAAGTCACGAGCGCAAGCGAATGTGTGTGTGAAGCGAAGGCTTAAAATTTGACCCTTCCATTTCCTGGAGAGTGGAATGCGCAAGGAAGCAACGCGGAGATTTCCCTGCAGCCTGTGAGCGCGGAGGAGGAGCCAGGGTCTGGCGCATCCTCTTCCCCCGCCGATGACGCCACGCGGCCCCGCCTCCTCCCGCCCACTGTGTCGGTCCCCCGCTGCTGCCGACGGTGAACTTCCTTCATCGAGCATAATACAGGACCTCTGCACCAGCTGGCTGTCCATTCTGTGACGGGTGGCAGGCATTCTGCCGAGCCTACGTCATTTACTTGAATCTAATCTCCTGTGTCTCGATACTGCGCAGGTTATTTATTGGTCAGGTGCTCTGATAGCCCGCATGACGCTCATCTAACATAAGAAATTTTGAAAATTTTGCTAATGAATTCATACTCAGAGCGATTGGTATATGGAGATTTCTCCCGTAATAATACAGTATTTCAGGCTTGAATGTTTTACGAGTGGGCATGGTATCTATGGCAGCCAATCAACGAGCGACTCTGTTTCCCTCCAGGGCGGCACGCCGCCCCTTGTTTGTAGTAGGTGATGGTAGGTCAGTGCAGGCCCCTGAGGGCCTCGCTCTCAGTGTATTGTCCACCGCTACACCGCTCGGCCATCACACGGCACTCTGCCCTCTCGACCATACAACAACGGCTTGTAACTGCAGACACTAACTTTTAAGAGACAGTGCTGTGAAACTCCTTCAGATTTGTACATCTCTTGGTTTGCAACATGGAGTGCCCCACCGGAGCTCACGGCTCTCCACACCTCATCCATATTCTACACTAAATTATTCTGCCGTTGTCGATGGGGCACTCGCAAGCACTCGGTTATCATTCTTTGGGTTAATATCCACTTGTGATACCAATTATGTAATATTCAAACTGTTATATTCTTGATAAACAAATTTGTTTTCTATTCTCAAGTTTGCAATGAGATGTAATAGTTTAAAGCTACGCCCTTTTGTAAGTTAACTCGCGGAGAGCAAGGGAGACTCGCAGAGGTGGCGGCACCTGCTACGCCTCTTCCCCAAGTGTAGGAGGTCTGCCGCCTCAGTAACAGCAATGAGATGGACTTGCTGAGGTCAACACGCCGCCCGTCTCGCAGGAGAGACTACTCCAGTTCCCTTCCTTTCTGTATCGTGACGGCGGGCCAAGGCATCGCAGCTTGCCCGCAACTAAACCCATCTGCAGAAAACGACATGAAGCTCTCTCGTGGGCCTGTGATTCTGGAAGCTTCGGAAATCTCATCGGCAGGAGCTGTCGAGGCGCGAAAGACGACGCCGCTCTGCGCTTGTGGAGGGACAGCAACAGCCGGAAATAGAACAACACATTGCAGCAAATGCGTTACAGTGCAGTACGTTTGTAAATATATTTGTTTATGCGTGTGTGTATATATATATTATATATATAATATATATATATATATATATATATATATATATATATATATATATATAATATATATATAATATATATATATATATATATTATATATATATATATATATATATATATATATATATATATATATATATATATATATATATATATATACTTATAGATATACATACAAACTATATATATATATATATATATATATATATATATATATATAATATATTATATATCATACACATGTATGTATATCTGCATAACAAAAAAAGAATTGGACATTTTATGTCATACCCACAAAAATTGTTTCAAGAAAAATGCATTTGGCTATACAGATCATCAAGCAAAAATATAGATGAGATACAACGTTGAAATGATGCTTCGTACTTCAAAAGTTCAATGGAGCTCCATGTCCAACTACAAAGGAAATTCGGAGACAAATAAGTGCACAAGAGCAGAGAATAGCAAGACGTTAGTCAGTAACGAACGGCCAGATTGCAAAGAAAAACCCATGGCACTGTGAGACCCCGTTTTATGCACCAGCAACATACTCTCTGCCTGTGTATCACAGTGAGACCTCTCCCTCGTTTCACCGGAGGCCAAGACTTGTCCGAGAGCCTTGGGCGTCGTGAGGAAAATAAGGTAGCCCCAGGGATCCCCTGTTAATGCGAGTCTTTGTTCATGTTGTTCATGTTCATGGCCGATAAGGTCGTGCTGGTCACCTCTGTCAGTGTCAGCTGGGCTGCTGCCGCTGTGTTACGCATTGCCAATCACTAGTCGATTGTATGCTTCGTGAATGCTAGTTTAAGTCGTGGTTGAGCGAGGGAAATTCAAATCCACAAGAGGACATTACAATTAGTCTACAAGACACCACGCCAAGGACGCTTTGGTAGTGGGAGGCACCGACTCGTGGAGCGGAGATTGCTAGATGCTTGTACTAGTACCCTGCACAACACTCACTCAGCGCGTTATTATGAAAATTTAAGCTCTGAAGGTTTTCCTCACCCAAAGACTTTTAAAAAGTTCTCGTAGTTTGCTTAGAAAGAATGCAAAAATATATCATGATGTTCTTCACATACTCTCAACAATGTACCAACGATCATCCTGTGTGAGAACTTGGTGTTGTAGCCCGGTGGCTGGCACGTCGAGTGTGCTGGCATGGAACGCAACATGTCACGCATGCTGACGTGCTCCAGACACAACGCTGTGCAGTTACCAACATACCAGTTACATTGTTGTGTTGATGCAACATACCAGATGTACATTTTTGCTCTCAATAACATACCAGACACGCATATTCACTAGCCAGACCGATACATCCTGCTGTAGGGAATACAATCGTAAAGCACTAGTCTCCGTTGTGCCATGTATTCACGTAATTAGTTTCAAATACACGTCTGTCACACAAAATTCACTACCTCTTCTCCTCCGAGGGAAGCAAAACTGGCAGAACTGCATCAGCTCTTGTGACCAAGACCCGCAGCGAAGAGGTCTTGGCGCGGGAGTTGATCGGTCTTTCGTTTTCACTTTTGAGTCACTTGCGGAGCTGCGTTAGGTTGAAGGTTTTCGTCGTAGCTACAGTAGAGCGACCTCATCGCTACCAACTAAAATGGGCTGATAGCACCTTATTCCCCACACCAATCCATCAAGTTAGTCTCGACACCAGCCAGTCTGCGGTGTAGCCAATGCAAATAGACTCATGTGCTGTTGATAGTCGGCAGTGGTCTCGTTAGTTTTGTCACATTACATCAGGAACCTAGATATGCTGCTATGCTGTATTGACACATAAAGTGTACTGCTATGTTGTATAAACACACCAAGTGCGCTGCGATGTAATTCCGACACACTGGTTGTACTGCTATATTATTCCAGCATTGAGGGAACTGCTTTGTTATCTCAGCTCACCAGGTGAAGTGTTGTATCATACTAACAGACAAAATGTGTACTGCTATTATGTGTGAGCACGCTGAATGCAACGCTATGTCTTCACACCTTTGAAAATGCTATGGTGGTATAGCAGTTTGAAGGTGTAGGAAAAAAAAAATATAGAAAAGCATTTGGTATCCTGCTACCCTTCAACATCAGGCTGAGTGTACTGCTTCTACAGCTATCCCTGGTGCTCTGCCATGTTATTAAATGTCGTTTGGAAAACCCCTGGATCATGAATACACCTCCAGTCTTCAAGCAATGTGAACCACTCGACAATTTTTTGTGGATCTTTGAATGAATGTATCGATATCAGTACACAGTTAGTATGTGGCACGTTGCATATCAGATATGAAGACATGACCTTCCCGCATGTCTTGTATTCTGATATGTGGTCCTTTGCATTGCAATTGTTTATTTGAACCCAACAGCACAGAGATAATACACCCCATCTCATAACAGGTAATCCGGTGTTCGGTAACGGCTAATGACAGTGCAAACTTACTCCTTGGGGTGTAGTTACTAAGTATAATGCTGTGTAGTATCTATCACAACATTTATGCTAAATATACTGTGTTTTTGTGGTCAATTTGTCCTGCGCAGATTAACCGAACCGCTGCGGGAGTTTACATCATTTGATATTCTGTCCATCATTCTAATTTTGTTTGATTATGATTTTTTTATGACATTGCTGCTGCTCCAAAATAGATGAAAGGAGTAGACGGAATGTGAGCCATATATAACGCGTAATGTTGATCATGTACGTTCCCGCAGCTTGCTAGACTGACCAGGAGAACCCGACCACTCTGTTATGGTCTCCGCAAACACATGCCTGCCGTTGGTAGCCAAGTGGTATACTACTAATAACCCTAATAAACAAATGGCATTACTTTCATTCTACATTCAGCCTTTTTGCTTGCACTTTGTATAATGTTTTGAATTTCACAGTTTGTACCATATTATCTGTAAATAATACGTCATCGAATAAATTTTTGATAATTTACCACGAAGAAAAAAAGATGTGTTTTATGACCTGGCGCTGTCTGGACGGGGGCCAAGGTCTTGTCACGAACCTCCTGCTGTACACTGGTCCGAGAGTCGCCACACAATACACAGCTCGACCTCTCGTCTCATGGCTCTCTGATTTTTTTGGCCATCTTGCATCGACCTTTTCTTGATTTTTTTCCACAAGGAAGAAAGAAGAGTCTACGCCGCCGTGAGACTGCCTGCATTGTCATTATTGTGTCTATTATTTGGGCATGCTAGTCCCAGCTTCTAGGAG